TCTGGGAGCGTAATGTTCTGAAAGGGTAATACGGCACTACAAGCTCTTTAAGATAGGATGGTGCCTGACCATTCAGAGCTTTCTAAGTCAGAAGATGAATTTTAAATTCTATTGGAGATTGTATAGGGAGCCAGTACAGAGAAGCCATTACAGGAGTAATGTGGTTTCCTAGTTCATAGTTAGCACCATAGACTGTAAATATTAATGGACGAAGCCTGAGTGACGTCATGAACTAGTTTTTCTGCAAGGTTTGCGACAGGAGATGCCTGATTTTAAGAATTATGAAGGTGAAAAATAGGCTGTCTTTGAAACTGTTTTATACAAGAGTTAAAGGACATATGTTGATCAAATAGAACAGTGGTGCTATTGTGGTTCAGGTCCTAATACAACGCTTCTAGTTTACAGAACTGATTGGTGTCTTCAGGCTTCATTGATACGTATAGCTGAGTATCATCTGCATAACAATGAGTGTTTCTTCATAATATAACCCAGAGGACGCATATTTAGGGTGAAAAGAATCGGTCTGAGCACAGAAATTTGATGAAGAGGAAGATGATGACAAATTATCATGTGACATCCCAGCGAAGAATGTTTCAGGTCACATGAACACAATGAAGTGCACAGCAGGGGTCCACACACACACACACACACACACACACACACACACACACACACACACACACACACAGGTCAGTGCTCATTACAGCAGCTCTGAAGATGGCGAGGACTGAACTGGATTTCTTTGTCTGTCACATTCAGTTTATGTCATCACACACACACACACACACACACTCTGTCACAGTCAGTGGAGTGTGACAATCTGTAACTTCCTGTCAAAGTGAATACTGCATGTTTTACGGTGACTATCCGACAGTAATAAAACGAGGTACAGACGAGGGCTCAGTTACCTCTCCATCACTGACTTAAAAAAACATGTGAAAAGAAGTGAAAGCTGCAGCTGTGGCCGGAATATATTTCTCTTCTTCTTATCTTTCAAACCTCACAGCTTGCTCAGAGTTTGTTTAATACGAGGATCTGTGCTCATAAACTCTGAGTTGATACCCAGCTGTTTGTGAGCGCTCAGTGTGACCTCTGATGTCAGCTTAGTGAAGATATGCGACTTCAGATAACCTGCTTCCTAGTACAGACCTCTGCACTGTGACGGATCTGGGTTGTTGGCGCCCTCTGCAGGTGGTGAGAGGACATGCAACCGACCCGCCCTTCACTCACAACAACAAAAAGAACACAGACACAGCGTCGTCTTCAGACTCATTTCCACCATTTTTAATCTGTAATCGAAGTGTCGACTCTTCAGATGTTCACTGACACAGACTCGCAGCAGATAGAAAAATATCATCTGAATAATAAAATAACAACAGTTTTTAAAACGTCAACGGATTCATCGGGTTTTTCTGAAGCTGCTTCAGTTTTAACACCGACAGGGAAAGAAATCCACACAGACAAAATCAAACACTTTCTCTTTACTCCACATTTACTCTTATCCACTCCAGTGAGGACAATAAAGAGTGCTCATATAATATAATATAATATAATATACTATGATATAATATATGTAAAGGTTTTGTTTTGTTGCTGACGAACCTTCCTGTGAAATCTCTCCTCGTTCTGATCTGCTCCAGTTTAGGTCTCGGGATAGTAAAACCAGGTTAAGAAATAAACCAGGTAAAAAAAAAACTGAACCGGGTTTAAAACAGTTTCAGACTTTTTAAAATCAAACTTCATGCTTTGTCTCGACGGTGCCTTTTCTTGTAGCAGCTCTGACCTCTGACCTCCATCACACCTCCTAATGAAGACATCGGCCCTTGGTCACTTTTTGGTCCCCGGGATGATTCAGTTACATCGTGGTTACTAATGGTAACCGTAGGTCCATGAGTACAGCTGGAGCTCTCTACAGCCAATCGGATTTAAGTTAAGTTGATCTGAACTTATCCCCGAGCAGACAAGAAGGAGAAAACCAGATTCTGATGTTTCAACCAAACTGTCCCTCCAGCTCAAACGAGTCAGTTTATCCATTTACACCGCTTCAACACTGAAGTCCACCAGCGGAGTCGACTGTGCAAACTCAGCTAACTTAGCTAGCATTGATAAAACACAAGCTAGCCGAGCTGACGCTGTGTGAAGTTAGCACCATTTTAGCCCAGCAGGCCACGACGTGTTTGTCGGCTACATCTCAGGAGCAGCTAAAAGTAGCTAACGGGCTAGTTAGCATGGTACCAAGGTACAGTCTTCGCTTCTCTCAAAGACAACGGTCATCTGTTGTGTTGCCATGGAAACCACTCTCTGGTCTTCATTCTACTTCTGTGACGGTGAACTTCCAGAGTCGGCCGACAGCAGCCAGAGGTGGGTCATAGGTCAGTCCGCTGCTGGTTTTTTTAACCCTGAAACCTTCTAAGTCCTGTGATCCTTTGGTCTGATCCTGAAGGAGCCGGAGCGCCGGGATTTCAGCCGCTGGACTGTGGAGGCCTGTGGACTCTAGAACACACAACACATCATTAACACCTGTACTGTCAACACCTGTACTGTCAACACCTGTACTGTCAACACCTGTATTTTTAACACCTGTACCTGTCTGTACTTGGGTGAAACCCTGTGTGCCTGGATTTCACTTTGTGTACCCAATAAATCTTAACAACAACAACAACAACAGGTCTCGGTGTGCACAGAGTTACCTGAATCCTGTTTGACTCACCTGCTGTTGTTAGGACCACAGGATGAATGCCAAAGAGAAAAATAAAAACAGGAACAGAAACTGAAAGACAAAAGATTAAAGCGTCAGGTGGAGGTCATAAAAACCAGTGTAGATGTGTTGCCATGGTAATGGAGTGCAGTGATGACCCTATCAGTCCAGTAGAGTTACCTTCTCCTCCAGCTCTTTAATCTGTCGCTTCTGTGCTTCAATAAACTCCTCCAGGTCCTTGTTCCTCTGTTACACACACACACACACACACACACACACACACACACACAAACAACACACACAAGCCCATGCAAACACACAATTATAAATTAAACTGAAACAATTAAAGTATATTTGTATGTTTACATGTTTACCTGTTGTTTAAATGTTGTTTACATGTTGTTTACATGTTTACCTGTTGTTTATATGTTTACCTGTTGTTTACATGTTTACCTGTTTACATGTTTACCTGTTGTTTACATGTTGTTTACATGTTTATGTGTTGTTTTCATGTTAACATGTTGTTTACATGTTTAACTGTTGTTTACATGTTTACCTGTTATTTACATGTTTACCTGTTGCATGAGTTGCAGTAGGTCCATCCTCTCTCGGAGGATCTGGGCGTCTCTCTCTCTCAGCTCAAACATCAACGTTCGTTTCCATTGGTCCATTGCTCTCCTAAGCCCCTCCCTCTCATCCTCCGTCAGCGTTTCCGACAGACGACCCTCCTCCATCTTAAGCCCCTCCTCCTGCTGCAGAGCTTCAAACAGCATGGCCTCCAGCTCCAGGATCCTCTGTGAGAAACGGGTTTTGATGTGATCACAAAAAGCACTTACTATTAATTATTATTATTATTATTCTTATTAATTATTATTATTATCATTATTATTATTATTATTAATTATTGATTATTTCAAAAACCAAAACTGTGTTTTTTTTCCTTTTTGTTGTCTCCGCTCTCTGACCTTGTGTGCCTGATCCATCGACTGCTTCCTATAGTCCAGCTCCTCGTCCAGGTAACCCTTCTGTTTGCTGAAGCGGTCCTGAAACCAAACACAGGTACAACAGGTAAACAAGTCAATAACACCAACAGGTAAACAAGATCCTAAATCCAACACTCAGAGGTCAGGGGTCACTATTAGAGGTTCAGGTGTGACTCTAACAAACACACTGAACAAAGCTGCAGTTTCTTTGTTTCAGTTCTACCTCAAACACTTTATTATCACTGATCTTTAAAAACATCCTAATCAAATAAACTCATAAAACACAAAACCATGAAACATAAGAGGAGGATGTTTCTGAGACTGTCATCCATCACTGCAGTGTTTTTGTTTTACCTTCTCACTCTCGATGTCCAACATCTTCTGCTGCAGAGCCGACTTGGTCACCTCAATGGACTCCAACCACTGAGCACACAGACAGGTCCAGATGGACAGACAGGAAGAGACAGACAGAGAGGTGCAGAGAGTCAGGGGGCGTGGACAGAGCGGGGGGGGGGGACCCAGATTGTGATCAACTGCTAGGTGAGTATGTGGAGAAACGAAAGGCTACAGGAAGTGGTTTCAGCAGGAGCCGGCTGCTGCTGACTGGGTGGTAGGGGGTGATGGGTGTACTTGGAGGACAGGGTCATCGTCAGGGTGTGGGTGGGGACAGCAGTCTGGGCATCAGGGAGGTCTAGAGGAAGCTGTGGCTCTGAGCAGGTGTAATCAGGTTTATGTTCAGGAGTGTGTGCAGATGTGTTCAGGTGTGTCTGTTACCTTCTCTGCCAGAGTGAGCACAGTTCTGGCATGAATCACCACCACCTGCTCCTCATTGGACAGATTCTGCAGAAAACACGACAGCAGGTCAACGACATTTCAACAACAACAACAACAATACATCAACAACATGTGAACAATATGTCAACAACAACAGGTCGACAACACATCAACCGATAGCCAACAACAAGTCAACATGACGACGACACTTCAACAACATTTCAACAAAATGATGTAAACAACATGTCAATAACAACAACAACACGTCAACAACATGTCAACAATATGCACAGCATTATTTAAACTTTATTTGAAACACAAACATGTACAAAAGAAATTGAACATACACTTACGGCGTTATCTCCCAGAATGTCGAGCTTCTTCATCAGCTCACTGATCACAATCTCCTGAGGAACAAACGTCACCGAACATCAACAGGAAGTCATGTCATCAATCAGACAGGTGTGCTCAGGTGAGTCTACAGGTGAGGCTACAGGTGTTTCACTCAGGTGAGTCTCAGATGTGCTCAGGTGAGTCTACAGGTGTGTCTACAGGTGTGCTCAGGTGAGTCTACAGGTCTGTTACTCAGGTGAGTCTACAGGTGAGTCTACAGGTGTGCTCAGGTGAGTCTACAGGTCTGTTACTCAGGTGAGTCTACAGGGGGGTCTACAGGTGAGTCTACAGGTTGGTCTACAGGTGAGCCTACAGGTGAGTCTACAGGTGGGTCTACAGGTTGGTCTACAGGTGAGCCTACAGGTGAGTCTACAGGTGAGTCTACAGGTGAGTCTACAGGTGAGTCTACAGGTGGGTCTACAGGTGTGCTCAGGTGAGTCTACAGGTCTGTCACTCAGGTGGGTCTACAGGGGGGTCTACAGGTGGGTCTAAAGGTGAGTCTACAGGTGGGTCTACAGGTCTGTTACTCAGGTGAGTCTACAGGTCTCTAACTCAGGTGGGTCTACAGGTGTGATCAGGTCAGTCTACAGGTGTTTAACTCAGGTTAGTCTACAGGTCTCTAGATCAGGTGAGTCTACAGGTCTCTAACTCAGGTGAGTCTACAGGACTGTAACTCAAGTGGGTCTACAGGTGTGCACAGGTGAGTCTACAGGTGTGCACAGGTGAGTCTACAGGTGTGCTCAGGTGAGTCTACAGGTCTGTTACTCAGGTGTGTCAACAGGTCTCTAACTCAGGTGAGTCTACAGGTCTCTAACTCAGGTGAGTCTACAAGTCTCTAACTCAGGTGAGGCTACAAGTGTGCTCAGGTGAATCTACAGGTGTTTCACTCAGGTGAGTCTACAGGTCTCTAACTCAGGTGAGTCTACAGGTGTTTCACTCAGGTGAGTCTACAGGGCTCTAACTCAGGTGAGTCTAGAGGTGTGCTCAGGTGAATCTCATGTGTTTCAGTCAGGTGTGCTGTTACTCACAGTGACTCCCTCGGCCTCGCAGTAGATCTGCAGAGGACTGAGGCCTTCTGGGAAAAGGTAATGATTGAAGCTAATGGCAGGTGAGCGTCTCTCCCGCTCCTACAATGGTTACCATGGAAACAGAGAGAAAGTCAGTGTTACTCTTTTGTCTTATGACCGTTGCTGTTGTTATTTGTTTTATTTGTTATTTTTTTTACCTCAAGCTCTAAAATACGAAACTCCAGCAGCTCGTTCTGATCTCTGACATCCTGAATGTCATTTTTCAGACGCAGGTCTTCACCTTCCATCTGACGCACCTGAGCCGTGACACAGGTACACAGGTCAAAGGTTAACATGTACACAGAGTCAGAGTCATAGTGATAGTGTCGTTGTAGATGTTTATATAATCTTTATTTAAAACACCTTCTCCACCAGCTCCTGATTCCTCTGATACAGCGCCTGCTTCTCCTCCACCCACTTCACATCCTGAAAGACAGACAGGTAGAGAGAGTTGGAGACAGACAGGTAGAGAGAGAGAGGTGGAGACAGACAGGTAGAGAGAGAGAGGTGGAGACAGGCAGGTAGAGAGAGAGAGGTGGAGACAGACAGGTAGAGAGAGAGAGGTGGAGACAGACAGGTAGAGAGAGAGAGGTGGAGACAGACAGGTAGAGAGAGAGAGGTGGAGACAGGCAGAGATGGAAAGAGAGATACATCTGATCAGCTGGGATTGTGATGTCACAGATAAGTCGACTGTCTGATTGGAGGAGCAGCTCATGTAAACAAACAGTGTCATAAATTCATGACTGATGATGTCATAGTTTTAGTATCAGCTCATTAGCGTTTTAACCATGGACACAGATAATTGAAGAAATGCTGCACATATGTATATAGCTACTGTGGTAACATAATTGTGTGTGTGTGTGTGTGTGTGTGTGTGTGTGTGTGTGTGTGTGATGTTACCAGTCCTTGTTGTTTCAGAGCTGACTCCAAATCTACAACTCTGCACTCATATCGACTGATTTCACTCAGCAGCTGCTCTCTGGTCTGAAACACAGAATACAACCATCAACCTGCTGCCTCGTCCTGTACACAGAACACAACCATCAACTCGCTGCCTTGCTCAGAGGCGGGCTCACTTTGATCTCCTTCTCGGGGTCGTAGTTCCCTCCGCTCGTCTCCGTCAGCAGGGCGTACGCTCGCTGCAGTGCCTGATACTCCTGAGTCAACTGGCGGTAACGGAGCTCCCCGTCCTCACGCACACACACCTGAGACACACAAACAAGTCAGACCAGTAAAGGCGCGCATACACTGTACGACTGTATGAAAATCATGGTGGAATGTCAACACATCTAAAGGAGGGTGAAGAGACATCAAACAGGCAGGCTGCTGTTGCCATGGTTATTTCAGATGCTCGTGGCTCTGCTCTCACTGACAGAGTGTGTGCAGACGTACAACCAAAGCACAGCGTTAGCTATGCATTATAACCTATTTGTGTGGATCGCGTTTGTGTGTGTGTGTGTGTGTGTGTGTGTGTGTGTGTGTGTGTGTGTGTACCTCCTCCGGTTCAGTATCTGGAGTTCTGTCCGTGTGAAATGAAAGAGACGATCCATCAGAGTCCATCGAGGCTTCCTCATCATAACCATAGAACGTCTCAATAACCTACACACACACATAAACACACACACACACACACACACATAAACACTTATCAAATCACAAACACTAGTATTTCATATCATATTGTGTATAGTAGTAAAAGCAGCTGTTGTTCTCACCCTGCAGGCTCTGATGGTTCGTTTCCTCCTCACAGAGTCCTGCCGTCTGTATCTCAACAACATGTCTCTCTCCTGAGCAACACAGCAACACAGCAACACAGTAAACATCAGATTCCTAATATTTACAGAACTATATTCATCAGACAGTTCTAAAACTTTACGAATCTACTTTATCTTCAGGTGAATTCATGTTACATGCTGTGGTAGCTGTGTGTCTGTTAGCTGTGTGTCTGTTAGCTGTGTGTCTGTTAGCTGTGTCTCTGTTAGCTGTGTGTCTGTTAGCTGTGTCTCTGTTAGCTGTGTGTCTGTTAGCTGTGTGTCTGTTAGCTGTGTCTCTGTTAGCTGTGTGTCTGTTAGCTGTGTGTCTGTTAGCTGTGTCCTGTTAGCTGTGTCTCTGTTAGCTGTGTCCTGTTAGCTGTGTGTCTGTTAGCTGTGTCTCTGTTAGCTGTGTGTCTGTTAGCTGTGTCTCTGTTAGCTGTGTCTCTGTTAGCTGTGTGTCTGTTAGCTGTGTGTCTGTTAGCTGTGTCTCTGTTAGCTGTGTGTCTGTTAGCTGTGTGTCTGTTAGCTGTGTGTCTGTTAGCTGTGTGTCTGTTAGCTGTGTCTCTGTTAGCTGTGTCTCTGTTAGCTGTGTGTCTGTTAGCTGTGTGTCTGTTAGCTGTGTCTCTGTTAGCTGTGTGTCTGTTAGCTGTGTGTCTGTTAGCTGTGTCTCTGTTAGCTGTGTGACTCTGTTAGCTGTGTCTCTGTTAGCTGTGTCTCTGTTAGCTGTGTGTCTGTTAGCTGTGTGTCTGTTAGCTGTGTCTCTGTTAGCTGTGTGTCTGTTAGCTGTGTGTCTGTTAGCTGTGTGACTCTGTTAGCTGTGTGTCTGTTAGCTGTGACTCTGTTAGCTGTGTGTCTGTTAGCTGTGTCTCTGTTAGCTGTGTCTCTGTTAGCTGTGTCTCTGTTAGCTGTGTCTCTGTTAGCTGTGTGTCTGTTAGCTGTGTCTCTGTTAGCTGTGTCTCTGTTAGCTGTGTCTCTGTTAGCTGTGTCTCTGTTAGCGGTGTCTCTGTTAGCTGTGTCTCTGTTAGCTGTGTCTCTGTTAGCTGTTTGTCTGTTAGCTGTGTCTCTGTTAGCTGTTTGTCTGTTAGCTGTGTCTCTGTTAGCTGTGTCTCTGTTAGCGGTGTCTCTGTTAGCTGTGTCTCTGTTAGCTGTGTCTCTGTTAGCTGTGTCTCTGTTAGCTGTGTCTCTGTTAGCTGTGTCTCTGTTAGCGGTGTCTCTGTTAGCTGTGTCTCTGTTAGCTCTGTGTCTGTTAGCTGTGTCTCTGTTAGCTGTGTCTCTGTTAGCTGTGTCTCTGTTAGCTCTGTGTCTGTTAGCTGTGTCTCTGTTAGCTGTGTCTCTGTTAGCTGTGTCTCTGTTAGCTGTGTCTCTGTTAGCTGTGTCTCTGTTAGCTGTGTCTCTGTTAGCTGTGTGTCTGTTAGCTGTGTCTCTGTTAGCTGTGTGTCTGTTAGCTGTGTCTCTGTTAGCTGTGTGTCTGTTAGCTGTGTCTCTGTTAGCTGTGTCTCTGTTAGCTGTGTCTCTGTTAGCTCTGTGTCTGTTAGCTGTGTCTCTGTTAGCGGTGTCTCTGTTAGCTGTGACTCTGTTAGCGGTGTGTCTGTTAGCTGTGTCTCTGTTAGCTGTGTGTCTGTTAGCTGTGTGTCTGTTAGCTGTGTCTCTGTTAGCTGTGTCTCTGTTAGCTGTGACTCTGTTAGCTGTGACTCTGTTAGCTGTGTCTCTGTTAGCTGTGTCTCTGTTAGCTGTGTGTCTGTTAGCTGTGTCTCTGTTAGCTGTGTGTCTGTTAGCTGTGTCTCTGTTAGCTGTGTCTCTGTTAGCTGTGACTCTGTTAGCTGTGACTCTGTTAGCTGTGACTCTGTTAGCTGTGTCTCTGTTAGCTGTGTGTCTGTTAGCTGTGTCTCTGTTAGCTGTGTGTCTGTTAGCTGTGTCTCTGTTAGCTGTGTCTCTGTTAGCTGTGTCTCTGTTAGCTGTGTGTCTGTTAGCTGTGTCTCTGTTAGCTGTGTCTCTGTTAGCTGTGTGTCTGTTAGCTGTGACTCTGTTAGCTGTGTCTCTGTTAGCTGTGTCTCTGTTAGCTGTGTGTCTGTTAGCTGTGTGTCTGTTAGCTGTGTCTCTGTTAGCTGTGTCTCTGTTAGCTGTGTCTCTGTTAGCTGTGTCTCTGTTAGCTGTGTCTCTGTTAGCTGTGTGTCTGTTAGCTGTGTGTCTGTTAGCTGTGTGTCTGTTAGCTGTGACTCTGTTAGCTGTGTCTCTGTTAGCTGTGTCTCTGTTAGCTGTGTGTCTGTTAGCTGTGTCTCTGTTAGCTGTGTCTCTGTTAGCTGTGTCTCTGTTAGCTGTTGTCTGTTAGCTGTGTCTCTGTTAGCTGTGTCTCTGTTAGCTGTGTCTCTGTTAGCTGTGTGTCTGTTAGCTGTGTGTCTGTTAGCTGTGTCTCTGTTAGCTGTGTCTCTGTTAGCTGTGTCTCTGTTAGCTGTGTCTCTGTTAGCTGTGTGTCTGTTAGCTGTGTCTCTGTTAGCTGTGTCTCTGTTAGCTGTGTCTCTGTTAGCTGTGTGTCTGTTAGCTGTGTCTCTGTTAGCTGTGTCTCTGTTAGCTGTGTCTCTGTTAGCTGTGTGTCTGTTAGCTGTGTGTCTGTTAGCTGTGTCTCTGTTAGCTGTGTCTCTGTTAGCTGTGTCTCTGTTAGCTGTGTGTCTGTTAGCTGTGTCTCTGTTAGCTGTGTCTCTGTTAGCTGTGTCTCTGTTAGCTGTGTCTCTGTTAGCTGTGTGTCTGTTAGCTGTGTCTCTGTTAGCTGTGTCTCTGTTAGCTGTGTCTCTGTTAGCTGTGTGTCTGTTAGCTGTGTCTCTGTTTGCTGTGTGTCTGTTAGCTGTGTCTCTGTTAGCTGTGTCTCTGTTAGCTGTGTGTCTGTTAGCTGTGTCTCTGTTAGCTGTGTGTCTGTTAGCTGTGTCTCTGTTAGCTGTGTCTCTGTTAGCTGTGTCTCTGTTAGCTGTGTCTCTGTTAGCTGTGTCTCTGTTAGCTGTGTCTCTGTTAGCTGTGTCTCTGTTAGCTGTGTCTCTGTTAGCTGTGTGTCTGTTAGCTGTGTCTCTGTTTGCTGTGTGTCTGTTAGCTGTGTCTCTGTTAGCTGTGTCTCTGTTAGCTGTGTCTCTGTTAGCTGTGTGTCTGTTAGCTGTGACTCTGTTAGCTGTGTCTCTGTTAGCTGTGTGTCTGTTAGCTGTGTCTCTGTTAGCTGTGTGTCTGTTAGCTGTGACTCTGTTAGCTGTGTCTCTGTTAGCTGTGTGTCTGTTAGCTGTGTCTCTGTTAGCTGTGTCTCTGTTAGCTGTGTCTCTGTTAGCTGTGTGTCTGTTAGCTGTGTGTCTGTTAGCTGTGTCTCTGTTAGCTGTGTCTCTGTTAGCTGTGTCTCTGTTAGCTGTGTCTCTGTTAGCTGTGTCTCTGTTAGCTGTGTGTCTGTTAGCTGTGTCTCTGTTAGCTGTGACTCTGTTAGCTGTGACTCTGTTAGCTGTGACTCTGTTAGCTGTGTCTCTGTTAGCTGTGTCTCTGTTAGCTGTGTCTCTGTTAGCTGTGTCTCTGTTAGCTGTGTCTGTTAGCTGTGTCTCTGTTAGCTGTGTCTCTGTTAGCTGTGTCTCTGTTAGCTGTGTGTCTGTTAGCTGTGTGTCTGTTAGCTGTGTCTCTGTTAGCTGTGTCTCTGTTAGCTGTGTCTCTGTTAGCTGTGTCTCTTCCTGCACGTCTTCTGTTAAAAACACAAACTGTTTCACACCGATGGACGAACTGATCAAAGTACAGACTAAAAAACAAAGTGGGCTCATCACAGCTGATTAAATACTTACAATAACATTCTTCACATAACCGGCCGTCTCAAGAGCCTGAAAGCACAAACCGTTTTACTTTAACTTCACTTTCTTTACTCGAATCAAGCAGCCTAAGCCTCCTGCTATTTTAGATTTAGCAATTCAGAAACCATTTCAATGATATGCTTTTGTAGTAGACGTACTGCATTCATTAAAGTATCTGAAGTAGTAGCTTTATTAGTAGAAGTGTTAGCAGTATTTAGAGTGGTGTTAGCAGTAGGCTACATGTAGCACAGCAGTAATTGAAGAAGTATTTGCAGTATAGTTGCAGTGTTTGAAGTATTTGTAGTATTTCTTGGCGGTGTTTGCACCTTGGAAAGGTCTTCGATGATGTGTTGCTGCTCCAGGACTTGTAAGCGCAGAAACTCCATCTCGCTGTCGTCCTGGCTGTAACCATGGTAACTGGAGGAGTGGCTGCGATCCAGGTCGTTCAGAGAGCTCGGCCTCCTCTGTGAAACATCAAAAAAACACACCTGAGGTCACCTGACAGTGATGTCACTTCCTGTCTGCAGAACTCTAGAGGTTTTCAAAATGGACAAAGTAGGCTGAGTTCTGAACAGCTGGATTGATGACATCACACCGCTGTATGATGATGTCACTGATTGTGAGTACTGTTATTAAAGAACACAATCATAATTTCATACAAAGTCTCACATATAATCAAATATATAATAAAATGTGAAATGAAATAATTCAATTTAGAATTTAGTATAAAACATTTTTTTTTTCATTAGTTCTTTATTTAAACAGACCGACCCTACAGGTGAACTGGTCATGGTCTGCAGGTTTACAGGTTAGACTGGGACTGACCCAGCTCTCAGACTGTGTTGTTCCAGGTGTGTTATGGATACAAGAGTACAGGGTTTCAGGTTACCATAGTTACCATCTCCATGTTCTCCTGGGTGACGAAGCGGAGCTTGTTGTCGAGGCGACGCAGAGCGAGAGCGAGCTCCTCGTTCTTCCGGCTCAGGCGCTTGTTTTTATCGAGGAGAGGAAGAAACTGGGACTCCGCCTCCCGCAGGCGCTTCAGCTGCACCGGGAAGACACAACACAGGAAGTACGCAAATTACAAAATACACAAACTACTACAAATGTGTAAAAAAAATACTTATCACCGTTTAATGGTCAGGGTTAGAATCCCATGTAAGGTGTGTGTTTGTGTGTACCAGCTCGTTGCGTTCTTCAGACAGCAGAGCGTTTCGATCCTCCAACTTCCTGACGACCGAACTGAGCTCAGCGATCTTCAGCTGAAACCTGCGAGTGTCCCGATCCTCCTGAGTCTGTGACACACAACAACACAGACACACACACACACACACACACACACACACACACACACACACACACATATACACACAAAAAAATGTCTACAGGACGTGTGGGGAAAAAATCACTAAAGGGGTGTAACGAGCATTTCACCAACAGCTGTCCAATCACAGAACTTCACAGACGGTCAATGATGTGCTGTGTTATGAACACCATATTTAATTACCATATTTACTCTGGATCATGTTTATCATAAGCAGCAGGGCTACAAAGTTATAACAGACAAAGTAAGAGTGCTGGTCGTTTCAAAAGAAGTGCAGTGGTCATTGTAGTTGTCGTGGTGATAGTACAGTGGTGTGATAGAATTGTATTATCTCTGTAGATGTAACAACATTTAGCTCGTTCCCTGGGCTGAAGACAGAATGATAGGGTTGGCTGTGACACTCTGTGTCTCCCCTCATATTTGGCTTTGTTTGTCAGACTTAGTGGCTGCTCTCCATTGTCTTAAAACTTCAAATTCTTATTGTGTCAAATCACAAGTTTAGCTTTTTGTGGCAGTGATGGAAGTCATGGAGGTCATTATGGAGATTTTTTAACTTGAAGCTTCAACAAAAGCACACACCTGTACAAGATGATTACAGTCAGAACGAGGAGGAATCTACAAAATGTAAATGAAGAAGATCCAGACAATACAGCATCACCTGAGTCAGAGTCAGGAAACACCTGAGTAGTCTCCTGTCAACTGTGTTGTTTTAGGAATCTTTGACAGACAGAGACAGAGAGACAGGAAGTGTTTGGAGAGAGAGAGAGAGGGTGGGCGACATGCATCAATCAGCATCAGGACAGGGAGTCGAACCTGGGACAGGTGTGACGAGGACTATGAGCTCTGAACATGAGGCACCTGACCTACTGACCAAGGCAAACCAGCACCACACCTGAGCTTCATTTTTAAAAATCAAACATGGTCGCTGCTGCAGAACGCAGAAAGAAAATGTTTATCTTTTTAAAAAAACAACACGTGATGTTTACATTTTTGGTCATACAGAAACAGCTCAAAGTTTCAGCTCACATGTAGAGATGCTGCAGAGATGGTCTTATTACTTCTGACCACCAGGGGCAGTATAAACTTTCTGTTCTTTAATGCAACTGTGAGCAACCCTGCCTGCTGAACGATTCCAATAAATGAGAGGATTATGGGAAACAGAGGAGAAGAGGATCCATCTTTGTGATGACGTTCTGAGTGTTTGGATGGTTTAGATTAGTCAAGCATTGGTCACATGTTTGATGATGTCATTATGACTCTGCAGAAGGCGGAGCTTGAGATGGGATGCCATGGATAAAACTCAGATGTCAAACAGTGACAGGAAGTAGATTTAAATCATGCAGAACAAGCAGGAGGAGGCGGGGCTTACAATGTGAGCAGAAGTGTTAGGGGCGGGGTTAGGGCCTTGGCCAGGAGGGGTAAGCCCCGCCCTCTGGGCATCTCTCAGGACTGCGATTTGCTGCTCTGCAGCCTGAGTCTGCAGCTGGAGGCGGTGGGCGTGGCCAGCCTGAAGGCCGAGGGCTTTATCCAAAACACTGACCGCTCTGTCCTTCAGCTTTATCTCATCCATCTAAAGGGAGACAGACAGGTGGGCAGAGACAGACAGGTAGGGAGAGGCAGACAGGTAGGGAGAGACGGATAGGTGGGGAGAGACACACAGGTACAGAAAGACAGACAGGTAGGTAGGGACACATGGTCCAGAGAGACAGACAGGTACATAGAGAGTAAGAAAAGTGAAAGACAGAGAGACAGGTTGGAGAGGGGACAGAGGCGAGGTTATATGTGGGGCGGGTTAGACACACAGGTAAGGGGTGGGCAGTCAGACAGGTAAGGGGCGGAGTTAGGCAGACATGTTAGGTTCGGGGTTAGACACACAGGTAAGGGGGCGGGGCAGTCAGACAGGTAAGACGCGGGGTCAGAAGGATCAGTTTCAGTTTTTGAATGTTAAACAGGTAAAGATGAACCTGCAGCTCAGGTGATTCTGTTTCTTCCTCCCCTGTTTCTGTTTCATTTAATCTGTGATAAAATCTCCCTGAATGACATCATCACCAAAAAAAGGAAGCACATCAGGTAGTAAACAACTTCTCTTTACCTGTGATACCTGAGCATAGTAAATGCTGAGTGACATCACCCATCTGTTACTGCAGCGTGACTGTGACAGTCGCCATGATGGAAATGCTGTCTCAACCTAACTTTCCGTCAACCTAACAACAGGCTGAGAACTGGAGCTGAGGCGGGTTTTAAGCATCTTGACAAACCGTGAAATCAAGCCCACCCAACCAAAATCTATTTTTTGTTTCAGGCTGTAAACAAAACAGCATTTTGTTTGAATGGAGTTTGAATGTGACTTTCATGTCACTTGGAGCCGGCCTCAAGTGGACACATGAGGAACTGCAGCCAAGGTTTCTGCTTGTACCTGAGGTAAACCTACCTGAACCCAACTTTAATTAATCAGAGAAGGAGAACTGAGCTAAGGAGCAGACCAGAACCACATCAATCTGAGTTGACATAGAACAACACCCGAGGTTAACACTTCAGGTTCAGCTCTCGGCTTCAGGATGACCACGGTGAGCTAGCTGACCTGTAGCGCTCTATAATCTGAGAAGAAATATTTCCTGTTGCAGAGTCAAAGGTTTGTTTTTGTTTTTCTGGAGAAATGAAGAATGTCTCCGTTCCATTACAACATTATAGAATGGTCTCACCATGGTAACTAAATTATTCTCTATCTAAAAAAGAGGTGTAAATGTCCACTAATTCATGATAATGAAAACATTAAAGCTTCTTCATACAGTTACCTCAATGATTGAGTCCTTATGGTATGAAAATTCAGTGTGCGTTGTGTAGATTCATTGTGTGTTATTGTGTTGCTGTACCAGTCTGTGTCTGACTCCGTCTGTTCTTTGTGAGCCTCTCAGTCTCGTTGTTTTGTGTTCATAAAGATTCATTCATTCTTCAGTGTGGAGAAAATAAACGTCTGTTTCTGTGTTTCTAGCATAAACATCTTCCTTAACAACTCAAACCAAAGAGCTTCAATCTTAAACTGTAAAAATTATTCAGTTTATTAAACCACTTTCATTTCCCAGCTGCTCAGAGTCTAACCTTTGTGTACTCTGGTTTGTGTTAAAGAATGTTGAAAATTGTCCAGTGTCTTTTTCAAAACTGATTTTAATCAACTTCCAGCTTTTTTGTTCAGTCATGAAACAAAACAAATTCTAAATATGTGACTCATTTTTCAAACTTTACACAGGAAGCTGCAGGCGGAAACAGGAAGTCCACGTGTCAAGAAAGTTTATGGATAAAGAATAAATTTTTTCACATCAGAGCAATGAACAACTCCACAGTCTGAACAGACGACTCTACAGATGACTCTACAGTCTGAACAGACGACTCTACAGACGACTCTACAGTCTGAACAGACGACTCTACAGACGACTCTACAGTCTGAACAGACGACTCTACAGTCTGAACTGACGACTCTACAGACGACTCTACAGACTGAACGGAAGACTCTACAGTCTGAACGGACGACTCTACAGACGACTCTACAGACTGAACGGAAGACTCTACAGTCTGAACGGACGACTCTACAGACTGAACGGAAGACTCTACAGTCTGAACGGACGACTCTACAGACGACTCTACAGTCTGAACAGACGACTCTACAGACGTCTCTACAGTCTGAACGGACGACTCTACAGATGACTCTACAGTTTGAACGGACGACTCTACAGTCTGAACTGATGACTCTACAGACTGAACTGACGACTCTACAGTTTGAACTGACGACTCTACAGTCTGAACTGACGACTCTACAGACTGAACGGAAGACTCTACAGACGACTACAGTTTGAACGGATGACTCTACAGACTGAAAGGACGACTCTACAGACTAAAAGGACGACTCTACAGTCTGAACGGATGACTCTACAGACTGAAAGGACGACTCTACAGACTAAAAGGACGACTCTACAGTCTGAACGGAAGACTCTACAGTCTGAACTGACGACTCTACAGACTGAAAGGACGACTCTACAGTCTGAACGGACGACTCTACAGTCTGAACTGACGACTCTACAGATGACTCTACAGTCTGAACGGAGGACTCTACAGACGACTCTACAGTTTGAACGGACGACTCTACAGTCTGAACGGATGACTCTACAGTCTGAACGGACGACTCTACAGGCCACTCTACAGTCTGAACGGATGACTCTACAGTCTGAACGGACGCCTCTACAGGCGACTCTACAGTCTGAACGGACGACTCTACAGACTGAAAGGACGACTCTACAGTCTGAACGGACGACTCTACAGTCTGAACTGACGACTCTACAGATGACTCTACAGTCTGAACGGAGGACTCTACAGACGACTCTACAGTTTGAACGGACGACTCTACAGTCTGAACGGATGACTCTACAGTCTGAACAGACGACTCTATAGGCGACTCTACAGTCTGAACGGATGACTCTACAGTCTGAACGGACGACTCTACAGGCGACTCTACAGTCTGAACGGACGACTCTACAGGCGACTCTACAGTCTGAACGGATGACTCTACAGTCTGAACGGACGACTCTACAGGCGACTCTACAGTCTGAACGGATGACTCTAAAGTTTGAATGGACGACTCTACAGACGACTTTACAGTCTGAACTGACGACTCTACAGACGACTCTAAAGTCTGAACGAACGACTCTACAGACGACTTTACAGTCTGAACTGACGACTCTACAGACGACTTTACAGTCTGAACGGACAACTCTACAGTCTGGACTGACGACTCTACAGACGACTCTACAGTCTGAACGGACAACTCTACAGTCTGAACTGACGACTCTACAGACGACTCTACAGTCTGAACGGACAACTCTACAGTCTGACCGGACGACTCTACAGACTGAACAGACGACTCTACAGTCTGAACGGACGACTCTACAGTCTGAAAGGACGACTCTACAGACTGAACGGACGACTCTACAGACTGAACGGACGACTCTACAGTCTGGAAGGACGACTCTACAGACTGAACGGACGACTCTACAGACTGAACGGAAGACTCTACAGTCTGAACGGACGACTCTACAGACGACTCTACAGTCTGAACTCACGACTCTACAGACTGAATGGAAGACTCTACAGTCTGACCGGACGACTCTACAGACGACTTTACAGTCTGAACGGACGACTCTACAGTCTGAAAGGACGACTCTACAGACTGAAAGGACGACTCTACAGTCTGAAAGGACGACTCTACAGACTGAAAGGACGACTCTACAGTCTGAAAGGACGACTCTACAGTCTGAAAGGACGACTCTACAGTCTGAACGGACGACTCTACAGTCTGAAAGGACGACTCTACAGACTGAACGGACGACTCTACAGAATGAACGGACGACTCTACAGAATGAACGGACGACTCTACAGACTGCTGCTTACGTGATGCAAAAAAGTAACAACAGACATGTTTGCTGTGTGTGTGTGTGTGTGTGTGTGTGTGTGTGTGTGTGTGCGTCTGTGTGTTCGTACCAGTCGGCGTATCTCTCTCTCACAGTCTCTCTTGGTTCGGTTCAGCTCCTCCTGGTGTTGGTGATGAGCAGATCGGAGCTGACGA